CTGCTAGTAAATTTTCTGCCGCTTTTGAGGTTTCTCCTTTAATTACATTAATTGAATCTCTTTCTCCCTGTATGAGACTTGAAGAGTTGGTCAGTCAGTTTAACTCGTCATGTTCTGATATTTTAGACCTTGTGCAGAATTACCTCCTCTCCTAGGTTCACGAAACGGTCGTCCATAAAATGGTCGTTCATCCAATTTCAAAATTGCCTTTCATATCAAATATATTGGAGAAGACAGTGCTTGTGCAGATTAATGATTTTCTAATGAAAAATAAAATTTTGGATAAATTCCCGTCCGGGTTTAGAGCCGGCCATAGTACAGAGTCTGCTCTTTTGAGGGCCTCTAATGACATTTTATGTGGTGTTGATTCCGGAAGCTGTGTCATTCTTTTATTGTTAGATCTTACTGCTGCATTCGACACAGTTGATCATAAGATTCTTATTGATCGTCTTTAAGATGAGATTGGCATGCAGGCATTAGCCTCGGAATGGTTTTCTTCATATTTAAATGGTAGGACTTTCTCAGTCAACTTAGGGAACTATTCTTCAGCTGTTGCCCCTCATTTGTGTGGGGTCCCTCAGGGTTCAATTTTGGGACCAATTTTGTTCTCCCTTTATATGCTCCCTTTAGGTTTGATCTTTGAAAAATATGGCATCCATAATAATTTGTATGCTGATGACTCTCAAGTTTATCTATTGTTGTAACATGATGATACATTTGCTATTTAGTCTTTGTATGAATGTTTGGTTGAGGTTAAGGGTCGGTTGGCTAACAACATTCTCCAACTGCATGAGGATAAGACCGAGTTGATCTTATTTGGTAATAAGGGATGTGTGAAGGATGTCAATGACTGCCCAGGATTGTTACCAGGAAAAAAAACCACTTAACAGTGTGAAAAATCTTGGTGTCATTTTTGACCGGCAAATAAATGAAGTTGTAAAAAACAGCTTCTTCCATCTTAGACGTATATCCAAATTAAAATCTATCCTCTCTTTTGAGGATATGGAGAAAGTTGTCCATGCTTTTATATAATCTCGTTTGGAATACTGCAATGCATTGTATCTGGGTGTGAGTCAGGCTTCTCTCTTTCGCCTGCAGCTTGTTCAAAATTCAGCTGCTAGGCTTTTAACGGGTACTAAAAAGAGAGAGCATATTACTCCTGTGCTAATTAGACTACACTGGCTACCTGTACAGTTCAGAATTCAATATAAAGTGCTGCTATATATTTTTAAAGCTTTGCATGGTTCAGCACCTGAGTACATTTCTGATTTAATTTGTCTGTATCAATCTAACAGGTCTCTGCAGTCAGATGATCAGTTAAACCTTATGGTTCCTTGATCTTGCTTAAAATGCAAAGGTGATCGGGCTTTCTATGTTGCAGCTCCCAGGCTTTGGAATGACCTTCCGTTGTCTGTTAAATCATCTCCTACACTTAGTGCTTTTCAAAGTGCACTAAAAACTCAGCTGTTTTCTTTAGCATTTAGAAATGTTTTATAAATTGTTGTTGTTTGTTTGCTGTTGTGTGCTATGTTTTTTTTTTTTATTGGTTTCTGTCTTTGGTTTTATGCTTGTTTATATTTTATTTTTTATGTACAGCACTTTGGTTCCACTTTGTGGTGTTGAAAGTGCTTTATAAATAAAACTGAGTCGAGTTGACTTGAGTTGTATTCAAGAACAGTTTTAGGCAGCATACAAGATTTGGGAACAAATTCCTTGTAGTAATTCTCCCTAGCCATCAGTGCAGCACTCCTTGGACAGTTTCTGCTTAAGGACTCAAAAAACCTATCATACGTTTCTGACCCTCTCTTTACTCTTGGACATTGAACTGGTTTCTCAGCCTTGGCTTGTTCAGTTGATTTCCCAGCGATGGCATCGCCCATTTATCTTTTTTTGGATTTTGCTGAGGAAAAGTCTATAAGAGCTGGAAATCTGGAAAATTTGAAAAGCATAAAGATCATTAAGTACTGCCCATTTAAGTGAGATTACAGTGTTATGGCTGTTGTAGCCATTATTTATTTGTTATTTAGGTAATAGGAATACTAAAATATTTTTTGGTATATAAGGTTTTTTTTGTAGATACTTTTATTTTGATAGACAGTGAGAAGACAGTGAAGTTAAAGATCTCACCTTTTTGTCAGAAAACAAAGAAGCACCCTGGTGTTTGGTTCCGGGGCGTTTAAGGAAAATCCCGCGGGCGCTAGTTTTCAAACAGTGTTTTGGGCGACGGATTGGCAACAACTGTACCGTGGATGCAACTATCATGGGTGAAAGTACGGATGGAGACAGTGAAGGTATGCCTTGGCAGAATGTGTCAAGGAAGAGGAAAGATAGGAGTAATAGCTCTGGAAGTTCAAGTTTAGGGTTGGAGGTGAGTGACGTGAGCAAAAAAACAAAGGCTACAAAGTCAAGTGTGAGGGAGGATGAAGAAATGGAATGGAAAGTAATGGTAACATTCAAAAGAGAAAGGGGTACATTTTTATCCATTAAAGTTGACAAAAGCTATTGAAAAAGAAATGGGAAAAATAAAAGTTTGCCAAATACTTAAGTAACAGGAGGTTACTGATTTTTAATAAAGATAAACTACAAAGAGATAAGTTCCTCCGTGCAGAAACACTAAATGGAGAGAGAATCAATGTTCATATACCAGGAAATGCAGCTAAGCTTAGAGGCGTTATTTATGATGTACCTGTGGCAATGACAATGGAAGAGATAATACAGGAAATGAAAGGAGGTAAAGTGATGAAAGCTACAAGATTACAAATGACCTGGATCGATGGCCCAGACTTCCTAAGGGAACCACCTCATTGTTGGCCAGACCCTCCATTCAAACTCATCCTCTTTCCAGATGACCCAGAATTAAGAAAGGAAATGGTCACCGTAAATGTTGCAATGAAAGACAACTTTGACGCTACAACTTGCCTCATGAATTACTTCTCAACATGGATGAGGCTCAAAAGGGCTGTGGCGTGGCTCCTAAGGTTCAAATCCATTCTTTCAGAACTTCCTAAGAAACGCAAGGCAAAGGCAGAATAAAGCAGGCATATTATGACCACAAGAAAAGGAAAACATGAGAAACCTGGTTCATATGTGCTATCAGTACAAGATATGGAGGATGCTGAAGTGGCAATTATACAATTTTGCCAAAGGCAGGGATATTTGCAGGAAATAACCCGCTTGCAGAAAGGCATGAAGAATGTTGGTAGAAGCAGCCCCATCTACAGATTAGATCCTGTTCTTGATAATGGCATCTTGAGAGTGGGTGGCCGCTTGAGCAAAATGGCAATGCCTACTGAGCAGAAACAAACTGCCATTCTTCCTAAAAAACATTGTTTCCAAGCTCTTACTTCGGCACATCCATCTAGAAGTTGGACACAGTGGAAGGAATTTCATGCTGTCCTAGCTTAGACAAAGATACTGGATTCCTTGTGCCAATTCCTTGTCCAGAAAGGTCATTCGTGAATGCACATCATGCAGATGAATAAACTCCAGTGTAGGTGAACAGAAAATGGGAGATTTGCCTATTGACAGGTTGACCCCTGACCTTCCGCCCTTCACTCATGTAGGGGTTGATTATTTGGACCACTGGAAATAAAACAAGGCCGTAGCATCGTGAAGCGCTATGGCGTGATTTTTACATGTCTTACCGGCCGTGCAATACATTTGGAAGTTGCACATTTGCTTGATATGAACTCTTGTATTAATGCATTCAGGCGTTTCATTGCTAGAAGAGGACCAGTGTCTGAGTTGCGATCAGATAATGGAACAAACTTTGTTTCAACTGAAAAGGAACTAAAGGAAGCTTTAAAATCTTGGAACATGCAACAGATTGAACAAAGCCTGCTCCAAAAAGGGGTGAAGTGGACGTTTAATCCTCCCCATGGTGCTCATTGTGGAGGGATATGGGAAAGGCTGATTCGCATGATCAAAACAGTGTTCCGGTCAGTCATCAGGGAACAATATTTGGATGAAGAAGGTCTTCAAACAGTAATGTGTGAAGTTGAGGCTATTCTTAATAGCCGACCACTCACACGTGTTTCTGATAACCCAAATGATTTGGAGGCCTTAACACCTAACCACTTACTGCAGCTTAAGGTGCCACCTCTTCTACCTCCTGGATTGTTTGCGAAAGAAGATCTTTACAATAGGCGTCGCTGGAGGCAAGTGCAGTACATTGCTGATTTGTTTTGGAAGCGTTGGATTCGAGAGTATCTTCCTCTTCTGCAAGCACGGCAAAAATGGTCACGGACCAGGCGCAACTTCCGTCAAGGAGACATTGTGCTGGTAGCTGATGCCTCAGCTCTGCGAGGTTCCTGGATGTTGGCCAGAGTCACAGAAGCCTTCCCTGACTCCAAAGGCCTGGTCCGCAGTGTACGTCTACAAACCAAAACAAGCCAGCTTGAAAGACCTGTCAGGAAGATCTGCTTGCTGGTAGAAGGCCAATAACCTAATTAAGGCCTTTATAGTCTTTGTGCATGTGCATACACTCATACATGCACATACACTGATTTGCATGCAAATAATCTTGTACGTGGTATAGAATAGTACAATGAATTTGAGTAAACAATTTATGGCTCCTTTAAAATTGTATTTTGTTTGTTATAACTTGCTTCCATCGGTAGCTATAAGGGGCCGGCTATGTTGGAGCCATTATTTATTTGTTATTTAGGTAATAGGAATACTAAAATATTTTTTTGTATATAAGGTTTTTTTTTGTAGATACTTTTATTTTGATAGTGAGAAGGCAGTGAAGTTAAAGATGACCTTTTTGTCAGAAAACAAAGAACAAAGAAGCACCCTACCAACCTACTAGGCATATACAGTAAGTTCTTTAAGGCTATTTGCTTTGCTATTTTATTTGATTAATTTGATCTTGAGTTTGTATCCTTTCAACCCTGCTTTAACCTTTGTATGGATTACTGGAATCCATTTTGGAATATTGTTTGTTTTGTCCATGCATCCTGCCCTGCCTGCCTGCTATCTGCCTACCTTGCTCACGCATTTCTATTCTGCTCATCTCATCCTTAAAAGGTACAACTTAAGTTTATTTAGATAGTCGTTTAAAGAGTGTCTGCGAAATATGTTGGGGGCTGCTTAAATTTGCCATTACAATGGCATTCTGCCATGTTCTACTTAGCCAAGCGTTCAAGTTATATACAAGGAAGATTTATTTACAGTGTCGATGATTTGTTGTTTTTTGGATTCTTGAAGTTGCTTGACATTATTGGTGAGTATAAAATTGCACTTTAAATCTGCTGATTAACTGACTTGTAATTATATGAAAACCGATACCAAATCAAAAATAAAAACAAAAAATAAAAGGATATACCATGGAATTTCAAAGAGTATCAAGAAAGAAATAAAATGCGACACTAAATTCCCGTTGAAAAACTGTATCGGCTTGGCATCTTCATGTAGCGTGCTCCTGTCTAACACCAACGGTGTCGCTAATAGCTACTTCCTGCCAGGTTCCTTAAAGGGATACACTCTTAACACTCCTACATACAGTAACTGACCATGTCTAACACACACATATGTGACCAAAATATGGAGCACAAAACCAGTCTTAAGTCATGGCCTAATGGTTAGAGAGTCGGACTCGTAACCCAAAGGTTGCGGGTTCGAATCTCGTACCGGCAGGGATTGTAGGTGGGGGGAGTGAATGTACAGCACTCTCTTCCACCTTCAATACCACGACTGAGGTGCCCTTGAGCAAGGCACCGAACCCCCAACTGCTCCCCGGGCGCCGCAGCATAAATGGCTGCCCACTGCTCCGGGTGTGTGTTCACAGTGTGTGTGTGTTCACTGCTGTGTGTGTGCACTAAGGATGGGATAAATGCAGGGCACTAATTCCTAGTATGGGTCACCATACTTGGCCACATGTCACGTCACGTCACTTAAGTCGCTGGGGTATATTTGTAGCAATAGCCAACAATACGGGTCAAAATTATTGATTTTTCTTTTATGCCAAAAATCATTAGGATATTAAGTAAAGATTATGTTCCATGAAGATATTTTGTAAATTTCCTACTGTAAATATATCAAAACTTAATTTTTGATTAGTAATATGCATTGCTAAGAACTTCATTTGGACAACTTTAAAGATGATTTTCTCAATATTTTGATTTTTTTGCACCCTCAGATTCCAGATTTTCAAATAGTTGCATCTCACCCAAATATTGTCCTATCATAACAAAGATTATTTATTTAGCTTTCAGATGATGTATAAATCTCAATTTGAAAAAATGACCCTTATGACTGGTTATGAGGTCCATAACATGGAACATTTAAGATATAACACTGCAACTACAATGTGTGCTGTTAGTTTTTAGTCTAAGACAAAACCATATGAATTGTAGTTGCAGTGTTTGATCTTACTTTCCCTGTGTTTCCCTGCAGAAGTGTGTTTTACAAACTGACAGTTGCTGTCATTTGCCGTCGTAGAGTAGGGTACAAAATAGTAATATGTACAGTACATTTACACACCTTTTGTACATGTGATGGCATCAGCCACTTGCACTTTTCAGTTGTGCTTGAGGCTGTATCTCACATTTTAACACCAGCTTCAATGGAAAAAAAAAAACTGCCCCAACATGAGAACAGGATTCTGACAATCTGAAAAAAGAATGAATAGAATTTATTTATTAACCACAAATGGCTAATACATTAAGATATAATAATATATTAAGACATTGGTAATATATTAAGATATATCTTTATTATATGTTTATGTATTATTATATTTAAAAAAACAGATACTACAAGCAACACCACACTACACTTAACAGTTATACAAAATACAGGCAAATGTAAATAACTTACCCGGCAATGCAGTTGCAATGAGCTGCAATGACTTCTCCGTCTTGTTTTGCGATAATCCATGCCTTTAGTGGCATTTTGGCAGACCTTTGAGAGTGGTTAACCTAATAAAGTAAAGTAAACAACCGTAACGCTAACATCAAGAGGTGCAGCAGCATTGAATGTTTGTTGCTAGGTTAATCGATAGGACAAAAAAGAAATACTCACGCGGGCAAAAACCAAACGATTGTCATTGGGGAGCACCTTGGTACCGAGGTCATTGACTCAACCACTAATAAAAAATGGTATGCATCCATACTTTTGTACGCCTTCATCTGTTTTTTGGAGTAGAAGGATGTCTGGAGGACAAGGTTGTTACTTACTGTATAACTACTGCCTCAATGGCAGGCAAATATTTCAGTTCAGCAGAAAATTCGCTCCTCTTCATAATATAAGGATCACATCCAACATATGTGTTGATTTTCTGTTTATATCTTTCTTTTGAAATAGTGCCTAATCCGCTACAATACGAACAATACAGAGGGGGAAGTCGTGGCCTAATGGTTAGAGAGTCGTACTCGTAACCCAAAGGTTGCGAGTTCGAGTCTTAGGTCCGGCAGGATTTGTTCAATACCCACGACTGAGGTGCCCTTGAGCAAGGCACCGAACCCCCAACTGCTCCCCGGGCGCTGCAGCATAAATGGCTGCCCACTGCTCTGTGTGTGTGTTCACTGCTGTGTGTGTGCACTTAGGATGGGTTAAACGCAGAGCACTAATTCCGAGTATGGGTCACCATACTTGGCCACATGTCACGTCACTTTCACTTTCCTCTATGTCTTCCATTCTATTTTTTTACTTCCTGCCCTCCATCTGAATTCTGTGCGTCATCAGAATCACGCGATTTCAAACAAGCTATTAGGTGACAGCGTATTTATGGAACTACTGTCAGACTGTAACAAACAGACCTCTGGTTACCATGGCTGCAGACACATCAGCAAGATTTCACTCTCACTTCCTGGGCGCAGGATACGACTGATTACGTTAAACTCGGGATAAGAATGAGACAGACAAACTAATGCAGCCATAACACAGCCTAACAATCCTTTAACGGATTTGAGTATTAGAAATGTGTTAGTGTGTTATGTGTAAGCCAGGTTAAAGAGATGGGTCTTTAATCTAGATTTAAACTGACAGAGTGTGTCTGCCTCCCGAACAATGTTAGGTAGGTTATTCCAGAGTTTGGGCGCTAAATAGGAAAAGGATCTGCCGCCCGCAGTTGATTTTGATATTCTAGGTAAAAGATAGATAATCTATTCTAGATTATATATTTGATAAAAATGGCTAGAGTTTTGAGATCGCAGTGAACGTGAAGGACTATAATGTGATAAGAGCTCACTCAAGTACTGAGGAGCTAAACCACTCAGGGCTTTATAAGTAATTAGCAAGATTTTAACACACACACGCACGCACGCACGCACGCACACACACACATCTATATATATATCACAAAAAATACAGTCCTGGATCCTCCATCTTTTACACCTTCAAGTCATCGCATATATATATATATATATATATATATATGACTTAACACAAATTAACATTTTTAGAAAAAATGTATCCATATAATAATCTCTGCATATAATGCAAGAGTGCGGGACGTCCAAAGATGATGCTTCAAAAGCTACACAAAGTGAACTGTGGTAACCCATGTGACAGCAGTTGATGACTCGATGTCTTCTGAAGCGAAGCAACGTCTGTAAGAAAAATACTTATATGTTAAACTTTACCATTTTGTTCACTTTGTGTGGTTTTTGAAGCTGACTTTTACACTTGCATTATATGGACTAAAAATCTTTCTTTGTGAAGAAAGACAGTCATAAACATCTGGTGTGGCATTAAAGGGGTCATATGATGCTGCTAAAAAGAACATTATGGGCTTGAGAACGGCGCAGCCGGCGATTTCGACGATGGAGCGTCCGGAAGGACATGTGACGACTCCGGGCTGGACTCCGATTCGTCCACGGTGAAAGCCGATCCGGTGATCGATCGACAGCGCAAAGTTGACGTATTTACTCAGCGACCAGCACGGATCAGCTCCAGGCATGACGAAGCAGATATCGTCCTCTTTTGGAAGACCAACCAAAGTAGTTTCGCTTTCACAACGAAGCACACAGCGTCTTTACGACATTGCGGCGGAAACAACAAAACTACAGCGAGAATAAAAGTTATGTCTTCTTTCTTTGTGTGAACATTTGGGCGGCGTTAAGCAAATCTTCCCACAGAG